GAAAAGGGGCGCCATTGGCGATCAGTGTTCAAGTCGACTGAACAAATATGTTTCCTGGCGAGATGGTTGCACAGTGGACTCTAGCTAAGTTAATTTCGGATGCTTTGACCGTCACATCCAGACCTAAGTTCTTTTTTCTGTCTCCGGTCTAGCGTAGCTCGGTAATTCCATAATATCTCGAACCCGGATCTGACTCCCGGCGATTCGACCCGTTTGGTGGTTGCATAGGATACAGACGGTGTTGAAGACCACTGGTGTAGGTTTTCCCGCTGCTGTAGTATCGGTATTGACAAGGTATACCCTTTTGTAGGATTGATAACCCCACATGGGACAAAAGCAGAAGAAAAAAGCAACGTTCGCGGAACTAGAACGCTTTAAATAAGATTTAAGGTATAGTTGATGAGATGTGGGTACCTTAGTGCTGTGAGGCCTAGACAAAGAGAGGTTGTAGTTACTAGTGATGTCTTGACTTGCTGGGCATATGTAGTAGTTAGTGTATACCGAAGACACAACTTTAAAAAAAAGTACCGGCAGTTCGAAGACAAACACCTGCTAGAAGCTCGATCTCCGGGCTATAGTTTTTCAAGCGAAACAGAACATATATAAGTACTTACCGATGAGAAAGATCAGCGATTCAACAGCCTGAGGCTTAGGAACGAAAGCAGTGTTTGATTACTAATTAGTAACCCGGCGAGCATCATGTGCAAGCTGTGACCAGCTTTGGCCGTCGAGTCTCGACCTTCAGGAGAATCAGAGCATCCCGACTTTCCGCTGGTGAATGCGCAAAAGGATGCGACCACTGATGAGTGCCTGGACTAGGGGACTGGGGACTTAGTCCATTGCGCAGCCATATAATTCGTTCGCTCGACCTGCTTTGGCTTCAAACTCTCTGATGCAGACTGGCCTCGACTATGTGTTCAAGACCTAACAATCGTTCCTCTCTGGATAGTGGACGGAAGCCTGTGTCTACAAATGCAAGTCACTTTACCCGGATCGAAAAGGAATCACTTCACATACCTGCGAGTAGTCCTTCCTACTAATCTAACCATTGATGAAACGGATAGATCTACAGTACCTTAGTTGCGAGCTCGCCCACTCCTCTCCCAATGATTCCAGCGCTCCAGCGTTCGGTACCTGAACGATGCCATGTAATAAACTCTCTCTCCTCCTAAACCTAAGCGGTATGCGGCCCCAGTCTACCTCATTGATCTCAACATCATCCAAACTTGAACGAAACCACACAGCCTGGAATTATGCACGTAAAACAAAACAATAATTGAAGAGGAAAGAGTGTAAATATCATGCTAATAGGAACCGGGAACCAGAAATCATCAATCCATATAAACAGGCGGAGGCTCTATCCCATGTTCCTCCAATCGCCGCAATCTAGTCAGTATTTCAGACACCGTCTCATTCGGAGATCGAGGGCTGCCAATCTCAATCTGTGAGGTATTTGTTGATGTGTTATCCACGGCAATTACTCTTTTGCCTCCAGGACTCACTGCTGAAGGTGCGAAGGCTGACGACTATAGGAAGGGAGTTCAGTTAACCACAAGCACCCGAGAGGAGAAGAAGAACACACTTCTGTCACTGAAGAGCTCGTGATAGTCGTAGTCTGAATCGACCGAACCGGAACAAAGTTAGGTGTTTGGGTTAGGGTGAAACTGAATAGCAGATGCAATTTAGTCACCGTTAGTCTGGACTACGACCTATAAACAGGCCAGTGGCGTAGCACAGCTGGGGGTCCAGCACTCACCTATCAACTACCGCTGCTTTTTCAGAAGAGTTAGACGGGAGTCCTCGATTGATTCTTTGTCGTCGTCGTCGAAACCACAGAAACAGAATCAAAAGAGCTGATACAACAAGGACCCCGGCAACTATACCACCAGCGATCGCTCCCACAGGCGTTTTCTTGGCTGGACTCGAAGTAGCCTGAGAGGACGAGGCTGTGGATGTTGGTGGGGTGATGGATCCTGTGTTGGAGCCTGGTGCCTGCGTTTGACTCGAAGTGTCCGTCAACGAGGTAGGGGTAGTAGGCACCGCTGTGTCCACCGCTAGTGTAATGGGAGTAGGGGCTCCAAAGACTGTGGTCCCCGTCTCGCCAAAGCATTCGCCCTCTGTAGCATCGATAAACTGGCATTGGACAAATGAACCCGGACCGAAAGGCTCGACATATCCGGATGGCGAAACGACAACTGTCCGCGACCCTGATTTGTAAAAAAGGATTCCATTTAGTAAGAGTCCTACCAGGACGGAGGCTGACGGAGGACGATCTTGGAGGATGGGGTTACTCACCAGCAGCCAACGAGGTCGTTAATACGGGAGCACCGTTGGAGGTGAAAACGGTAACGACGGGGTTCAAGACCTGCCAGAGATATGTCGTCGCAGAACCATCGGCTGCTGTTCCGAGAGGGAGTAGTGGTTGAGTGAACTGTCCCCCGAGAAGACGATTCGTTCCGAACTCCCAGACTGTAGCGATAAGCTGGGAAGAGGATTGAGAAAAGGCTTTCTCTAGAGGTCAATAGTTTTTAGTTGGGTACACGAAAAAAAGGGAGGGAGTAAACGTACCGACGTAAAGAGCAAAAGTGAGAAAGAGGAATAAGAAGAACATGAATATGCAAGTTCAACAGGTGGTTGAACAAAAGTAAGAGAAAAACAATGTCGTGTCGGAACACCGAGGGAGTGTATACCTTCAGTTCCAATCATTAGACGCACTAAAATGAGTTCTTAACTTGACAACAAGCACTAGATCGCCTCAAGCTGTGGCATGCAATAGATTGCGGTGATTGCCAAGTCAGGTTAAGTCAGAACCTAGTATGTTACTTTTACGTTTCGCCTTTGCTGAAACTAACATATTAGGGGGGCACCCAAGCCCTCGGTCGTTCCTTTTGCGGAGAAAAACGAATAAATTACTATACACAAGCATACGATTCTCAAGGACCGCAAGCTTTTTGAATGCCAATAAAAAGTCCGAGATTCGTTTTTACGTTTTACCTGCGCTAAGCCTACAGAACAACTTCATCCTCTACTCCTTCTTGCTCTTCTTCTCCTCCTTGACCTCTCCAGCGAGGTAAATTGCAGAAAAGAGAAGGAACCCGACACTGGTGCTTATCGCACCGATGTAATAGGGCCATGCGGCGCTCAAGAAACGTGGGTAGCCGTCGTGGCGCGGTGGGACGACGGGGACGATTAGTGTATGGAGGAGGTGCGAGAATCCTTTGCGCTTGTAGTTGATGACGAATTTGAAGACACCATGACGATCGGGAGCGCGGAAGGTCGTGGAGTATACGCCTATTATAGAGGATTAGGGAAGACCGACCGGGCGTGTGAAGGATGCGAAACTTACCTTTTTGGCCGCGAACAGCGGGCAGGGCCGTCCTGACATGAGGGTCCAACATTGTGAATTCCAGCTGGAGGTCCTTCAAATCCGAATACCGCTCCCATTTACCAGTGGTCGGGTTGAATGAGGATATTTTTACGGTGTAGACCTTTCGTAAAAAAAAAATTACTCTGGTTAGTATTCTTGGCTTGAGGAAAAGAAAGCAAGGCGTACGATTTCATCGTTGGTAGTGTATGTTTCCGGTGCATCAGTCTGATTAACTTTGTGATGCTTCACTTCATCGATACGCAGGACACCGTGCTCCTGGAAGGCCCATCCGGCAATGTCCATCGCCGCCTGTTCGTTCCCTGAAGGCTTCTCAACAACTGATTTGCCTCGTTCTGTTTCGACTTTTTCGACAACCTTCTTTGTGGCGAATTCGTCTGAAAAGAGGGAGGGGCCGCCGACCCAGACAACGCGGGATTGTTTGTCTTCTCCTGGGCCAGCATCGTTACCGTGTCCAGTGCCTCCACCGATTAACGTCTGGAATCCAGCTACGACGGAGAGTGTTGAGCCAGCCCAGAAACCTTCGCCGCCTTTTTCAGCGGCATCAGCGAGTGCGTCAGCGACCAAGCCAGGCGAGTCACTCAAGTCGGCAGCGAAACTCTCGGCTGGGGCATGCAGGATAGGGAAGAGAAGAGGGTTGGCGGATAAGGCGAAGGGTGTTCCAGAGAACCAGATTTTATTTTCTACTTGGGACAAGACGGAGAATGTATCGTTGGGAACGGACTTTGTGTCGAATGCGATAGGAATGACACTTGGAGAGTCGCTTCGTTCTGGGAAGAAGCTGACTAGCGGTGTGGCTGGCGGCGGAAGGAGGAGAGAAAATTCGGGGGCGAGGGATGTGAGCAGGTTTTGTTTAAGACCGAGAGTCAGTACAAGATTTGTTCCTAGTGTGAGAAGTTCGACGAGAGTCTGCGGACTGATGTCCTTTGCAAAGTCTTTGAAATCGTTTGTTAATGATAGAGCTAAAGCACAATAGAAATGGACGCACTCTTGGTGTCGGAAGCCAGGAATACAACATGAGAAAAGTTGGGCAGCCCGTCTTCGATAAGTAATGGACTTTCATCCCTTGGTGAGCGAACGGTTACTGTGTATCCTTTCGCTGTTTTTGGGTCAGTTCAAGTCGAGCAATTGTGTACAAGTATAGCTTGCAAACCTTCTAGCCCTTGGAGAAATATGCTATAGTCAACCTTCTTTGCAGAATCAAGAATCACGAGCACCGAGTCGCCAGTGCTCGATGCAGACTTGGCTGTTGCAGAAGAGCCAAATGCTAATGTGATACAAAGTACAAGAAGGAGCGTAAAGATTGAAGAGACTGTTGTTCCAGACAGAGAACGCGTCGCCCTCATCGTGAGTGTAGTTGGAAAGGTGCGCGATAGTTAATTACACGACGTGGCAAATTTCAAGAAGCGCCCGTTAGAATTTGAATTACTTATTTATACTCTCTCATTCGACAGCGTATTACTATTTAGTGGCTTGCAATGTTGATCTTGTGTGTAGCGCTTCTGTAGTGATTTCGAGAGGGTCTCTAGCTCGTTAGGATCCTCTTTAGGATTATCCCACATTGTAGTGATCCGATAGGGTCTGATAACATTTACACCTGAGGCCCATTATACATTCCGATATGGTGTAGTGGCTAACATTATCGCCTCTCATGACACTGCCGACGAACCGCGATAGCCCGGGGTTCGATTCCCCGTGTCGGAATTTTGGAATGCCAGATGGCTGATGGTTTTTTTGTTATGTAAAAACAAAAAAAAACAAGTGCTTCCCCATTCTGGCCTTATAAATCGAGCCTCTCCTTTGAAACAAGCTTTTTGCCTGGCAATGTACCCCCCCGATTCCAGTGAGTCGGCCTACTCTTTTCGCTCTTTACCAAGTCATGCTTGTGTTATTTGTTATCCAAGGGTATGATACATAGCTATGATTATTATAATGCGATAAAAAATATGTACGACTTTTTTTGCAAGGGAATATATATGAATGCCACGCAAGGGGAATCAATCTGCTTTTGTTTTTTCCTTCTCTCCCCGCTCGCGCATCTTAACTTCCAATAACGGATCCAGCGTCGCGTCAGGATGGCGGTAGGAGTTTCCAGCACGGTCAGCCCAAGTAAAGTACTGGCCGTAGTTGACGGTAAAGTATAGGTGGTGCAGCGTATGATGCGCAGGACCGTTGATGACATTTTCGAGCGCGTGTCCTGTGATCATGTCCGAGTCGTGAATCTAAGGAGTTTACGATCGTAAGTAGCCGAACGAATACAAAACACGAAAAGACGTACAAAGATACTCCAAAAGTTGACTGCGACGAAGAGACCAAGGTAGACGTATTGATGCATTGGGAAAAGAAAGATGAACAGATGATAAGGCACGGATTGTAGGTATCCATCTACAGGATGGAAAGCATGCGAAGCAAACGGTGTAGGGACTAGGAGAACGATGTTAAGATGTAAGTTCTTCGGTAAACATAAACAAAAACTTACTGATCCATTTATGATGCGGTTTGTGCAGAGGTTTGTACAGAAGAGGATGGTGGAGCCACCGGTGTATCCAATAGATGCAGTAGTCCGTAAACAACAAGTAAAACGGTATACTGGCGAACAGATACCACCATCCTCCCCAGTGATCGTCCACACTAGAATATACTTTTGACCACCCCCGTACCTCAGCCAAAAACCACGGTAAGGTCAACAAAGTCATCACTGGGAACGCCTCCAGACTCGTCCGGATTTCTAATTGGACTTGTTTCGGCAGAAACCGCGGATGCAGCATCATTTCGTGGTTGAAGATGAGATAATACGACGCTGAGGCAAAGAGAAAGTAGAGCGCGTGTATTCCTAGGAGGGTGATGATGGAAAGGGATATAATTTGCCGTGGTATATGCGAGCGAGGCCAGGCAGACATGGCAATTGCAGAGACCGTAGCATTTAGTCCTGCAGCTTCAGGCAAGGTAAGCGGTACGAATTTCGTGTAGACCGCGTCAAGAACATAGGTGTCGGCGATTTCGAGGACGAGGTCCATTGTGAAATCGGAAAAGGGAGCTCACAAAGCAACAGTGGACCTGTTTTTATTTCCGGCAACTAAAAAAAATTAAAGTGGTGTCATGAAAAATAAAGTCGTGCCGGCAGCGCCGGTGATTGAATGCGTTTATTAGGCGCTGGAGCTGGTCCTGGGCGCTTCGAACAACGGAAAGCCCTTTCCTTCCGTCCTTTTCCGTCCCACTTGTTTCTGTTTCTTAGTACGACTTGGGTGCCCTCGTTCGCTGCAACTTGCACTGTTGCCCGCTTGGTTCCTCTTAACTGATACCCGCACTTGAGCCTCTCGAACATGACAAAGTGATTCCCAGCAATAGGGTCGCGGCTAGGTCTTTCGAGGCCGATCTGTACAAACTGCGTCGGGTCGATTGGTGGCCTGGAGTTGCTCCGGTTGTCAGGGATCCTCTTTCTGGTCATCGATGTGTATGCCCTTTCCACCAGTTCTTCTTGCCGGCGTAGGGACCTGGGTTCCGGAACATTTGCTGGTACTTAGGTTGATAGGCAACTGGATATGGCTTCTCAGGCTGTTGTTACTGCCTGTGACCGGTGCGTTGATGATTGGGAGGAGGGGCCATCTCTCTGCCGAGGAGTCGGACGGAAGCACTCTTGGCCTTGCCATTATGGCTCATCTTTGTCGCGATTTTTTCTCTGTGTGGACTGCATACTAAAGAGGCATGTTGAAGAAGATAGCTCTACTGTCTTCTGAATGGCTCCTCCTACTCCAGCCCCTGCTGGTGTCCAGGATGGCTCTCTTCTGCCTTCTTCGTTAGATGCGCCCACGCCCACGCCCACGTCGCGCTCCTCCTCACTAGGTCTACTGACCGCTGGCCTCTCTTTGCTCTCAGAATGTAGCGATATCACATACAAGACCCACACAGCTTGTACTCTAACGTAGCTACTAGTCAATGGTAAAATGCAGCAATCTAAAACCGTCTGATTATTGTGTGTGTGTCTGGCTTTGTGAGACGGTTCCTCAGAACTGATCGTAGCGCTGCTGGGAGCATGTATCTGTGGCACACATCCGACGCAGTGTATGTGGGAACCCGACTGTTCCTAATAGGGACCGCGTCGGTTTTCCTTTCCAAGTTTCTCGTCTTACTTTCTTTGACTACATCGTCTGTATCGTTGCTATGCTTCAGATCCAGAAGTAATAGCTGGGGCAATTTTTATACCGCGAGACCGTAATGGATACTAGAATGCACAAAATCATGACCCGGGATCTTAAATGTTGACGTCGAATGCACATCCATGCACTTCCGCCGGTTCGTCGTTGCAGTTGTTTCTTCGCCACCACCATGGATTAAACTACCAAATAAAATTACCTATAATTATACTATATAAAGGAAGGCTTTTTCGATCTCTACCTTAGCGAGACATCAAGTACTATATATCGTGTATGATATAGTGGACAGACAGCAAGGACTCGTTTCTGCCATGTAAAAAACATCAGGTTTACTTTGCATACAATGGCGGAGGGGCAGACACTGGCGGACCATGTTCCTCTGGCCGCCTGACTATGTCCGGCCTTGGATGCTGCCGCCGCAGCTCCTGCGCCATGAGCGCACGTTTCGATTGAGGTTGCGCAGAGCTGGGAATTATCCTGTCCTACATATACCATACATAAGTTTTAGAGCTCGTAACCTAGAGCGAAAACCCACCTGTCTCCGCGGTGGGATCTCCCCAGTATTACTTTGAGTTGATTGAAAAGGAACTGTAAAGGGATAGATATCCTATACCGGTAGATGAGTCTCACTAGCAGGATAGGTAGCTTCAGTTCACGACGTTACCTGATGAGGCATAACATCTTCTGGATTTAAATTGGATTTTAGTACTTGACGGCGTAATCGGTTCCCCCTTAGCCAGAGAATAAAAAACACAACTGCTGATACAACTACAACACCGGCAATTGTGCTACCAGCGATTACTCCTGCTGAGGATGACCGTGAGTCCTGAGGACTATTTGCAATGTTGGTTGTCGTTGGGACGATGATCGTGGCGGAGACTGTAGTCGGGGGTACTATCATTGTCGTGGGGTTTGCCACTTCAAAAGTCTTCGGTCTAGGAGTGCCAGTGGCTGTACCGGTAGTGGCGCCAAAGCATTCCCCTTTTGTAGGATCGATAAACTTGCATTCAATAGAAGTATTTGGGCCAAAACGCTCGATCCATCCAGAGGCAGAAGCAGCAATAGTTCGCGACGCTGTAAGTAATATCCTGAATGAGATTGACAGTGTGTACTCGATGATCGTACGCACTTAAAGCGGTGCCAGCGACAACCTGATAAAGATATGTCGTCTCAGAATTGTCACTTGCTGTGCCAAGAGGTGCTAATGGCAGAGTAAATGTGCCAGTATCGAGACGATTGATTCCAAATTCAAAGAGTGTAAGTGCAGTTATACTAGAGAAAGCGCAGGCTGCAGATTTACCCGCCTGATCAGTACTGGGGATAGTTTTTTGAGATGCCACGGGCTAGCTCACGTATGTTAAAAGCCAAGATTAATAAGGATATAATCATGCTGGTCTGAGAGTCGGTGAAGAAAGGTCAGATTGGTACCCTACCGTCGTATTTTTCCCTTCCTCTTGGTGCTGCTTTATAAACACCAACACCGGCAGCAGTGTCCGTCTCCCGCAAGCATGCCTGTCCTGGAAATTTCTGGAGATGGGAGTACCTCAGTTGAACGCGCTCAAGTAACGATGAACTGCCAATATAGATTATTTGGACTGAAATTTGAATAGCATAAACATAAGGGTAGGCCAACATAAATTTCACCTCAGTTGAGCAAGTAAAGTGTCGGTAGTGTACATCGTTCACTTTTATCATTAGCAAGTTGCTGTGCAATCACCATAGCGCCAGTCCAGCCAGGCTCTCCGTTTATGCTACTACTTTTTATGCTCTCGCTGTTGTTAGATTGGGTTCAAGGCGTTGATTCTGCATCTTCGTTACACTCGGAAATGGTTTGATCCTGCAGCCTCCACAGGTAAGTTAGCAAGGGGTACAAGTTTCGTGTAGACCGCGTCAAGAACATATGTGTCGGCGATTTCGAGGACGAGGTCCATTGTGAAAAGGAAAAGAGAGCACACATCATGACATGTTCATGTCATGAAAAATAAAGCCGTGCCGGTAGTGCCGATGATTAATTATTAGGCGCTAGCGCTGGCGCTGGGCCTTTCCTCCGTCCTTTTCCGGCCCCGTCCCATTCCAAGTTTCCACTCTCACTTTCTTTGACTACGTCGTCTGTATCGCTGCTATGCTTCAGATCTAGTCAGAGCTAGGGAATTTCTGTACCGCTAGACCCTAATAGATACTAGAATGCATAAAGTCACGACCGGGTGTTGATGTTGAGTGCACTTCCAGTTCGTCGTTGCAGTTTTTTCTTAGCCACCACTGCTATGTATTAAACTAGCAAATAAAATTACCTATAATTAAACTAAGTATATAAAGGAAGGCTTTTTTAGTGAGATATCAAATACATCGTGTATGATAGTGGGCAGACAGCAGAAAAGACTTGATCTGCCATGTAAAGTTTACTTTGCATACCATGGTGGAGGCCCAGACACTGGCAAGCTATGTTCCTCTGTCCGCCTGACTACGCCGGCCTTGGATGCTGCCAGCTCCTGTGCCATGAGCGCACGTTTCGATTGAGGTTGCGCAGAGTTGGGATTTATCCTGTTCTAT